TTGTTTGTTGATCGATTCATTTTTTGTTTTATTATTGGAAACTTTTTTTCTTTTCTTGTTTGTTTCTTTCTTTTTCTCTCTCTCTCTCTCTCTTTATTTTGATCGTTCAATATATATAGTCACTCTCTCTTTCTATCTATCTTTTTCATTTTGATCAGCCTGGTAATCTGATGCCAAGTTTGTGCATGTGTGTATGTCAAGCCATCTTTTGCGGATGTTATTAATTGTATTTTTGTTGTTGTTGTTGTTGTTGTTGATGTTCAGTTTTGCACAGTGTGTATGTGTCTGTTATATTCAATTTAGCTTTTTACAAAAACACACACACACACATATATAAATGACGGGCTGTGTTGCTGTTTATCGATATTTTTTTTTTCTTCTTCGTCTCTTCGATATTCCATCCATATTCAGAATGATCTATTCTATAGTAAAATGAAACAAACATACTGACAATGATCAAGCAAAGCAGAATATTCTTTTTTTTCTATCTGTTACAATGATATTAAAAAAAAAATTAATCAAACAACAACAACAACGACAACAACAAAAATTGTATTTGTATCGTCAAACATCAGGCGCGCATCGAATAAATTGCAAAAAAAAAATGAAAAAAAAGTTTTGTGTTATCACAATAAAACAACAACGGCAACGGCAACAGCAATAACAAGAAACTTTTGAAAGAATTTTCTCCGGCTTTTTTTTATCATAATTTTATTATTATTACAGTTTGAATAGATTGATTGAACAGGAAAAATTTTTTTTTTTCATAATTCACACACACACACACACACAGAATCAAGCTCGAAATGAATCTTTGTAGCTGTTGCCAGTTGTTTGACAACAAAGCGAAAAAAAACCGTCGAAAAAAAATTCCGAATCAATCTATCAATTTTTTTTTCTTGGATCAATTTAATTTATTATGCTGAAATTTTTTTTTTTTTTTTGGATGAACAAATGAATCGGATGACTGAATGATGATCGGCGTATGAAAAAAAAAATCATCCAAATGGCTCTGTGATATATACATATTAATTTCCAACATGATGATGATGATGATGAAATTTAAAAGTTTTTAATGCAGAGAAAAAAAAGCTTCATGTTTTCAGACAAAGTGAAATGAAAAAAAAAAACAAAACTTTGACATTTAAGATTCATCACCATATCATCATCATCAAGTTTATTTTGTTTGTTTTGCATTGCTTGTTTGTTCTATATTTATTCTGTTATTTCATTCATTCGTTCATTATTCGGTAAAGTTTTTTTTATTTTATTTTTGACGGACGCAAACACACAAAAATATTATTTTCATGTTTGATTGGTGATCATTTGTGTCTTTTTTTTTGTTGTCTCGTGCATTTTGTTTTCAAGACAACAACAACAACAACAACAAAAATTTTCAATCTGCAACATGCACATTAACAACACACACACACGCACGCACTTGAACGAATTATAGTTCCGGTCGTCATTTTTCATCATGTGCATATATACTATTTATATTACAATTCTTTGGTCATAAACATTATTCTTAATATATAGAATTTGTTTCTTGTTTCCGGTTGTATTCTTTCTTTTTTATTATTATTAAATTCCTCTTATTCAATACCATTGGAACTAAAAAAAAATTCTCATTCTGTAGCATCATCATCATCATGATCATTATATTCGTTTGTCAAGATTATTGTTTTGTTTTACACACGATACCAATTGACTTTTTAGCATTTTTTTTCTTCCTATAGATTTTTATCTCCGTGTACATCATCACATTCAATGATTTTATTTTTTTTTCGTTTCGTTTCGTTTTAATTAATTAAATCGAAAGAATTTTTTCCGTTGTTGTTGTTGTCGTTGTCGTTGTTGTTGTTGTTGTTGTTGAAAAGTTTCAAAGTTTCATCATCCATGAAAATGAAAAAAAAACGGTATTCCATGATGAAAAAAAATGCTTATCCTTCCCTAATACTTCATATATCGTTATCATTAACCGTCACTATGATTATCATCATCATCATCATCATCAACATTCAGGGTAATTAAAACGACAATGTCGACATTATAATGATGATGATGATGAGAATCTTTATTATTTCAATATCATAATTTCTGGTTTCTGGTTTAACGACAACAAAAACAACAACAACAACAACAACAGCAACAACAGCAAAAAACGTTTCGTAACAATCGTTCCATCATCAACTTCATGATGATGATGATGATGATGATCATTATCATTATTATTATCATTAACGATGTTTTATTATGATTATAGCCATCATCATCATTATCGAAAGTTTTTCATTTTTTTCCTGTTTTTAAAACACAAACCAAATGATTTTTTTTCTCTCTTTTTTTTTTTTTTTTGAATAAAAATCAAGGAAATCAAACAACCAACAGCAAACGGGTAAAGAATTGATTTGGACAGGAACAAAAAAAAAAAAAATATGGAGCAGTCGTATATGTAATATATTTGATTCCAGTTAATGGAATGAAATTGTTGTTGTTGTTGTTGTTGTTGCATCAATTTTTCTCTAGTTTCACTGCATTTGATTTATGTTGAAATTATGGTTTTTATTTTTGGTTTCAAAATATCCAGAATGGGCGTGTTTTGGGCCAAAATTCAACAACAAAAACAAAAACAACAACAACAACAACAACAGAAAAAAATGAAATTATTTTGCATCACTTGGCATTCAATTTTTTCTACATCATCATTATCATTATCATCATCAAATTGTTGACTTCCTTTTTTTTCTTTTCTTCATTTCGTCATTGTCTTTTGTCTTTTGTCTCTGAATTTTCCATTTCTCTCTTGGTTTTACTTTTTTTTTCCATTTTGCTTCGTTTCCATTTAATAATGATAATTTTTTTTCCATTTTTCTGATTCTGAGATTCTTTCATCATTTCTCTTTTATTCTTTCATCATTAGATTGATATGTGATTGGTCAACAGAAAAAAACAACAACAACAACAACAAACAATGTTGCCATTCAACCATTATCTTCAATCTTTTTCATCTATTATCTCATACAAGTGTGTGTGTGTGTGTGTTGCTGTTCCATATCATGCGAATCATAATTTTTTTCTTCTTCCTTTGTTCAGGATGTTACAGGGCAAAATGATTCACGAAAATGTTTCATTTTCATTTTCATTCGCTTAATTTATCCACAACATTTTTTTTTTGTTTCGAGTTTATTGTCAAGATACACACAAACACACACACACACACATATATATTATATATGGTGTGCAAGTAATTAGTTGCCAAGGGTTGCCAATCAAAATTTTGACGATGCAATTAGATTGGTGTGTGCGTATGGATCTCTGTGTGTGTGTGTGTGTGTGTGTGTTTGGCTCATATCAAGTAAAGTAAGTAAGTAATAACCAGAATTTTTTCCATGTATAAGAAAAAAAAATGAAAGAATTTTTTTTCTATTTTTGGTTAAATGTTGTTTTTTTTCACATGAATCACTGTGTGTGTGTGTGGTATATATTACATATAACTCAGACAGAGTGGCCAGAATATATATCAATTATAAATGTATTTGTGTTTGTTGTTACCGTGTCTCTCTCTCTCTCTCTGTGTGTGTGTGTGTGAATGTGTGTGTGTAATCGGAATTTATTTTTCTCGTTTGTTTCCTTATTGAACCGGAAACTTGAAATTAAAATTATTGATCCAGGCAACAACAAACCACGACGACGACTACAACGATGGCTATGACGACTATAAATTCCAATATATATTAAATCCTCCATAGCCATAGGATATTTTTTTTTTCGCTGTTGTCAATGTTGTCGTCATCCATCAGCGTTTGTTGTTTGAAAAAATTGTCACAACAAAACAAAACAAAACAAAAAAAAATTAATACCAGATCCATTCAACCACCGATCCATCCATCCATCCATGCACAGTGATCATCATCATCATCACTTTTATTAATTACAAAACACACCCATTCAAACATATAGCACACATTTATTTGCTGGTTTTTTTTTGTTTTAATCCTCGTACACAAATAACGTACACAATTTACAAACATCCAGCTCATTTATACAACAAAAAAATAGCCTGTTGTGTGTGAATCATTCGATTTTCATTCATTGTTTATGTGTAATGAGCAATTTCTAATGAAAATTTTTTTTGTTTCTCCAGATATTTATCTTCCAGATTTTGTTCACCAATCATCATCATCATCATCATCATGATCATGAATATAAATGATCAGTGAAAAAAAGAAAAACTTATCTGTAAAAAAATTGTGAAGAAAAAAAAAATCAAATGCAACAACCACAACAACCGAAACAACAACCACAACAAGAAGAAGAAGAAGAAGAAGAAAAAAGACAAAATTATGTTTAAATCACCATTATTATCAACGATAATAACGAATACGATAATAACGGCGAATAAAATTAATTCAAAACAATTACAACATAATAGTAGTGAATATTATTCTGTAAGAATAATAAATTCTTATTCATTTATCCATCATCATCATCACCATCACCATCATCACCGTCACCGTCACCGTCATCATCATCATCATCATCATTATTATTATTGCCATCATTATCCACCATATAGAATTATAAAAAAAAAAAATTTTTCATGATAATACAAAATACATCAATATAACTACCACCACCACCACCATTATCGCTTGTTATTTTTATTTTTATTATTAAGTGCCAAATGTAAACAACACAATATTCATCATCATCATCATCATCATCATAATAATAAACGACCACAAATCATCATAATAAACGTTAACAGCCAACAACAACAACAACAACAAATGATAATAATTTTGAACAGAACGAAAAAAAAAATTGCCAGAAAATTTTTTTTATTATTATTAATCATTACCAATCAATGAAATCGTCCAAATTTTATTTATTGAAAAAAAAATTTTATTAATTAAATAATAACAAAAATGTCAATATTATCAACAACAACAGCAACAAAAACGAATCAAAAAATTGATAAATTTTTACAAAAAACAAATATAATAACAACAAATACAACGACGACGACGACGACGACGACGATAATAATAAAAAAATGTTAGGCCGTAAACAATCATTACGCCATACGGTAACATCCGGTTTGGCAGCAACTGCGGCCAATATAATGGGTACGGGTCCACCGGTTATGATTGGAAATCTTGGTGTTAATGTTGGTGGCCAAAGTGGTATTGGTGGTTCAAGTGGTCAAGGTAATACAATTACTGGTATTGGTGGTGGTGGTGGTGGTCAATTAGCAGCAGATGGACCATCACCAGGTGTTGGCGGTATTATCGGTGGTCTTGGTATGGCCGGCGAATTAGAAGAATGTATCCGTGCCCGTACACTTTGGTGGGAATCACAATTAGTACGACGTTTTATGAGATTTTGCGCCTTATTATCATTGGTTTCCGTTTCTATGAATACGCCCTATACATTTAGCCAGATGCCCTCGTTATTATATATCACATTTGTGATTGACATACTTGTTACATTTGCTTTTTCAATTGAATTCATTTCAAAAGTTCGTATACGTGGTTCACGAACATATTTTCATGATCGTTGGTCACAATTCGATGTTACAATGTTAATCTGTCTTATTTGTTCATTGATATTACATATTTTTGAAATAACCGGTATGTTGTTTTTATTTGTCGTTTTCTTGGAATTTTAATTAATTTTTTTTCTTCACAATTCATTTTCATCATAATATAGGTTATGTGGAAGAATTTTCACCATTATCAATGATACGTGCACCACGGCCATTAATAATGGTACGTGTGGTGCGTGTATTTTTATCATTCTCAATGCCACGTGCCCGTATTACGCAGATATTTCTACGTTCATCACAACAAATTTATAATGTAACATTATTCTTCATATTCTTTATGTCATTATTCGGCTTACTTGGTGTACAATTTTTTTCATCGCTCAATCATCATTGTGTTTTAATCGATAATTATACGGAACTATTTCAGCCATCCATACATATGTTAGCTATACCGGATACATATTGTTCACCAGAAGATTCACATGGTCATCAATGTCCACCGGAAATGGTATGCGTTGAGATACATAATTCAAGTGGTTATGCTGGATTCGATAATCTGGCACATGCATTGTTCACCGTTTACCAGAGTGCCTCACAAGAAGGATGGTCGCATGTGATGTACCAAGCGATGGACTCACTCGACTTTTTCCGTTCAGCCATCTATTTCGTTACATTAATATTTTTTCTAGCATGGCTAGTTAAAAATGTGTTCATTGCTGTCATCACTGAAACTTTTAATGAGATACGTGTACAATTTCAACAAATGTGGGGTGAACGTGCCCAAATTGTAACACAAACAATACAGCTAGTATTGATTGGTGATGATAAATGGAAATTAGTACAATTGACCGATTCGGATGCAAGAACACGTGCACCACATATGATCAGACATATATTGGGTACAGCATCATTTCAGATATTTGTCATGATTATGATTGTTGTCAATGCAATCATAAATGCAAGTATTCAATTTGATCATTCGGGTAAATCACGTGATGATTATTATCGTACTATTTATCCATCGGAAGTATTTTTTACAATATTTTTCGATATTGAAGTCTTGTCAAAGGTATGTGCAACAACAACAACAATCCTTGACTAATTTTTTCCATTCAGATTTGGTGTTATGGTCTACGTACATATATACGGCGATCATTACATAAATTAGAATTACTATTATCGATTGGATCATCGATACATGTATTGCCACCATTATATATGACATCGCCATTAGTATATTTTCAAGTATTACGTATTGTAAGGCTAATAAAAGCATCACCAGTATTGGAAGATTTTGTTTATAAAATATTTGGACCCGGTAAAAAATTAGGTTCATTAATTATATTCACTATGTGCCTTCTAATTGTTACATCATCAATATCAATGCAATTATTTTGTTGTTTTCCTGGTTATAATAAATTTCAATCATTTCCTGAGGTATGTATATACATGGGTATAAATCCCTTGTTTTGTGTAATTTATTTTGATTGGTTTTTTTTTATTCAACAACAAAAACATGTTCAACATGAGAAAAATAACCAATAAATAAACAAACCGATAAACTAATCCCTGGACAAATTATTTTTTGTCATTTTTCTTCTTCTTTTTTTTTTCCACAAACAAACCACACAAAAAAGGCATTCATGTCAATGTTCCAGATTCTTACACAAGAAGGTTGGACCGAAGTAATGAATGAAACGATATTACGCTCTGGTGCTAAAATTGGTCCATTAGTTGCAATTTATTTTATTCTTTATCATCTATTCGTATCATTGGTATGTGTTTGTGTGTGTGTGTGTGTGCGGAATGTTAATTTTTTTTCTTTTCTGACCAATGGTCATTTTACAATTAATTAATTAATTAATGAATGTTTTGTTTTCATTATAGATTGTGTTATCACTTTTTGTTGCCGTTATTCTTGATAATCTTGAATTAGATGAAGATATTAAAAAAGTGAAACAATTAAAAGCACGTGAACAATCAGCAGGGTATAATGAAGAGCTACCATTACGATTACGGTTATTTGAATCATTTCCAGATTCACCACAAATGACACGACTACATAAACAAGCCAATGAATTTAATATACCAAAAGTTCGTGATTCATTTATGCGTGCATTTATTGATTCCACTAATACAACATCAACAGTTGTATCGACTACAGCTGTACCATCGGGTGGTACTGTTACAGCTACTGTAACATCAACAATAACCGGAACCGGTTTACCGGCTGCCGCTGCTGCTGTTGTTGCTGCTACCAGTGGTGGTGGCGCTGGAACATTTGCACAAAATTTATCCAATAGTAATTTTACAACATTACCATCATCATCGATGATGATGACAGCCGGCGGTACAAATCGTCCATTGATAATGACAGCTGCCGGTAATTTAACTGCCAGCAACAAACCAATGTTGCCTTCATTATGTTCATCCGGTGGTACAAGTATTGGTGGCCTATTTTTCAGTACACGTAAACAATCGTCGATAAAATTATTAAGTCCAGTATCGAAAGGAAGACATTCAAGTCCATTATTACGTCGTGTACAGGTTGCTTGTATTGTATCCGATTCAAATAATCAACGACTATTGCTCAATGATACATCGGTGGCCGGTATTCCTGTAGTGTCTGGTGTAGCTGGTAGTGGTGGTGGAACAGGCGGTACTGTTGGTGGTGGTACAACATCGGCTACTACTGCCGGTAGTGGTGGTGGTGGTGGTTTTACCAGACATGGTGTTTCACATGGTGTTGGTAGCCGTGGTATGAGACGATCAGTACGTGGTAATCTTAAAGAAGAAGTCGGTACAGAAGAATCACATTCCGGTGCTGGAAATGGTCCATTAGTGCGTGGACAAGATTTTGATTTTAAAATGTTACAACGTAAACAAAAACAAGCTGAAATGCGTCGTACACAACGTGAAAGTGATCTTCGAGAAAATCATCCATATTTTGATACACCATTATTGATTGTTGGACGTGAATCAAGATTTCGTATGATTTGTCAAAGTATTGTTAGTGCAAAATATGATCCACATGTTCGTGATCCAATAACTGGGAAGGAACGTAAAATGCGTTATAAAGGTGCACATGAATTATTAGGTTTAGTACCATATTGTGATTGGATTATGATTATCGTAACAACAGTATCCTGTGCATCGATGATGTGTGAAACCGGTGAACATCGTATAACCAACACATCGATATTGATTATTGCTGAATATACATTTGTATTTGCGATGGCCATTGAATTACTATTGAAAACATTAGCATGTGGATTGTTATTTACACCGAATGCCTATCTAGCCAATGTAGCTGGTGTTATGGATTTTCTTATATTCGGAATATCCGTCCTATTTTTATGTTTATTACCAGAAAAAGTACCACCACAATCATGGCAACAAACATTATATGTAATGCGTTGTATACGGCCATTACGTATATTTTCATTAGTACCACATATGCGTAAAGTTGTATATGAATTATGTAGAGGCGTTAAAGAGATTGCATTGGTATCCGTTTTATTGATTGTTCTTCTATTTGTATTTGCATCGGTCGGTGTACATATGTTTGGTGGCCTATTGGCACGTTGTAATGATCCATGTATTAAAACAAGAGTAAGTTTCATTTATCATTTGATTATTGATGATTATTGAATTTTTATTTAAACAAAACAAAACAAAACAAAAAAATTTTGCTTTTTATATTTTTATATATATATCACACAGGAAGAATGTATCGGTGTTTTCATGCGACAAGTACACGTGACTAGAATGAAATTGGCTAATCAAAATGAAAAAATGCCTTCAATTCTGGTGCCTAGAGTTTGGTAAGTTTTTCTCTTTTTTTTTCTTTATTTCTTAATTTTTAAATTTCAAGAATTAAGAAAAACAGCAATTGTAGATAGAATTACAGACCAAAAAAATAGAAATTCTCAGAATTCACCAAATTCTAAATTCCATTGATGATAATGGACCAAATGAATGTGATTAGTGTGTGTGTGTGTGTATTTTATTGTTGTTGTCACAATTAATAAGACGAAAAAAAAAAAAAAATAAAACACGAGAAAGAGAAATTTTAGTTTCAAATCATCATCTAAACATTAATGGATTTGAGTGATGAAAATCTTATTATCATCGTTATAAAATAACAGTAGCAATAGTAATAGTAGTAGTAGGAGGAAAAGTGGTTGTTTGCTACAAAAAAAAAAAAAATTTTTTTTTTCTTTCATCTATAATGGCCAATTTGTGTTCGTTTGTGTTTTTTTTTCTCTCTACTTTTTTTCCACTTTATACTAATGTGTGTGTGCATCACTTATATCATATATACCCACACACACACAATATGAACACATGAAAAACACATTCAGGTCAAATCCAAGAAATTTTAATTTCGATTCCATCTCGAAAGCATTATTAACATTATTTGAAATGTTATCATTGGAAGGTTATAATGATTATCGTGATATAATTATTGATCAAACAAGTATTGTAAGTTGTTTTTTTTTGGTTTTGTTTTCAAATTTTGCTCTAAAATTTTTCGCTATAAAAAAATGAATTCTAGCTTGAAAGAACCAAACATACATACACACACTGTTTCTCGAAAATTCTTTAAATTTAATCAAAAAAAATGATAAATAATTAATTCATTCTTGTTCTAACCAATTGTTTGTTTGTTTGTTTTTTTTCTCTATTTTTTTTCTATTGCTTTTTTTTTCGTTGCTGTCGCTTGATGTTACATGGGAACAACATCGAAAATAAACGGCTTCTTCACGCCTTCAAAATGGATTGATTGATTGATTAATTTTTTTTTTTTTTGGTTGCAACTGGCCAATTCATGCAAAATATCGCATACCCACACACACACACACACACATGAACACACGCAAATAACAAAGGGCCAATCCACGTCGTTTCAATTTCGATTCACTTGGCAATGGAATATTGGCCCTATTTGAAGTATTATCATTTAAAGGCTGGCTTGATATTCGTGATGTCATCTTAGCACGGTTAACTCCAGTATGAAAATTAATTTTAAAATTTATTCGTTGCTTTAAAATAAAATTAGATTAGATTAGAAATAGATAGATAGATGATAAATGTGCATGATGATGATATGATATAGCTTCAAAGTAGTTTGAAAATTAGGCAAAATTTTGACGAAATTTTAATTTTTGGATTTTTTTTCGATTCGATTCGATTTTTTTCCACAGTTACACGCCATTTATATACATGTATTCGTATTTCTTGGCTGTATGATTGGCCTTACATTATTTGTTGGCGTTGTCATTGCAAATTATGGTGAAAATAAAGGCACAGCCTTATTGACGGTGGATCAACGTCGTTGGTGTGATCTGAAGAAACGTTTAAAAATTGCACAACCATTGCATTTACCACCACGTCCTGATCATCATCGTGCACGTGCAATTATCTATGATATAACACAGCATATCATATTTAAACGTACAATTGCCATATTGGTATTGATCAATTCAGCATTATTATGTGTTAGTTGGGATAGTAATATGGAACATACAAAACCATTGGCCAATGTTTCGGCTGCATTGACTTGTGTTTTTGTATTTGAGGTTTGTGGATTGGTTGTTTTTTTTTTATTCATTTGAAAATTATTTCTACTTTCTACTTCATTTCAGGTATTCATGAAAATGATCGCATTTACACCACGTGGTTATTGGCAATCACGCCGTAATCGTTATGATTTATTTGTCACCGTACTTGGTGTACTGTGGCTAATATTGCATTTTACATTCTCAAATAAAGCATCCAATGCTTTCGGTTTCATTGTGGTTATATTACGTTTTTTCACCATCACTGGTAAACATGCAACATTGAAAATGTTAATGTTAACAGTTGCCGTTTCGGTTTATAAATCATTTTTCATCATAATGGGATTATTTTTATTAATCCTTTGCTATGCATTAACCGGTGTCATTTTATTTGGTTCAGTAAAATTTGGTGAAAATATTTCACGTCATGCTAATTTTCGGTATGTTTGTTTTGTTGAATTTTTTTTTATTTTCAATTTTTTTTCATTCATTCATTTATTCATTCAAAATTTGGTATAGTACGGCAATAACCGGTGTAATAACATTATTTCGTATTGTGACCGGTGAAGATTGGAATAAAATAATGCATGATGCAATGCTGTCGCCACCATTCTGTACATTGAATGGTGATAATTTTTGGACCACCGATTGTGGAAATTATTATGCATCATTAGCATTTTTCTGTTCATTCTATGTCTGTATCACGTATATTGTATTGAATCTATTGGTGGCTATTATTATGGAGAATTTTTCATTATTTTATTCAAATGAAGAAGATGCACTGTTATCATATGCAGATATAAGAAATTTTCAAAATACATGGAATCTTGTCGATATACAACAACGTGGTATGATTCCTGTATCTAGAGTAAAATTTGTATTACGTTTATTAAAAGGACGATTAGAAGTGGATCCAAATAAAGATCGTTTGTTATTTAAACATATGTGCCATGAAATGGAACGGCTACATAATGGTGAAGATGTTACATTTCATGATGTATTGAATATGTTGTCATATCGTTCTGTTGATATTAGGTTTGTATCGTTTTCATTCTTTTTTTTCGTTTTTTGATTATGAAAATTCTCTGTTTTTTTTTGTAGAAAATCATTACAATTGGAAGAATTACTTGCACGTGAAGAATTGGAATTTTTAATTGAAGAAGAAGTAGCCAAACAAACAATACGTGCATGGTTAGATCAATGTTTACGGCGTATAAAAAAAGAACGACAACAACAATCATTGTTACATTCATTACGTGCAACAAATGAACCATCGATGGGACAATCATCATTTTTTGGTTTAAGCGGTGCAATTGCTGATTTAAACAATGATCCATATGGTCTTGGCGGTGATCAAATGCAACTAAAACCATTGGCTGAACAATTGGCTCATCAACAACAACAACAACAGCAGCAACAGCAACAAGATGCATTAGCTCAAGATGATGAACAAATTAAACGTGATGATGTTGCATATCAAAGATTGATGATAAAATCACGTTATGGTGATGTAAAAATACCATCATTTGGACCAAAATTTCCAATGGATAATATGATGGCCGATTCATCAAATAAATCATTATGGGATACTGAAGAATTTGGTGGTACCACCACTAGTGGTGTTGGTGTTGGTAAACGTCCACATGGTTCAGCACATAAAGCGACAGATGTAGTTGCTACACCACATCCACCGACCACACCACATCCACCACATCAACATAAACGTGTCGAATTTCGCCATGTTGAAGAAAGAAGTAAACAACAACAGAATCCTTCATCATCACCGTCAACAGCATTGATTACATCACCAATAAATAAATCATTGCTAACTGCCCATGATTCCATCGGTGGTGGTGGTGGTACTGATAAAGATTTAGAATCTGGACATATAACATCTACAGCTAGTTCAACTACGACAACAACTGCAGCAACATTAGCATCAAGTCGTGGTAAAAATATTGAAAAACTTCGATTACCATCATCATTGGATCCATCGTCGGATGAAACGAAACATCATTCAGGATCATCATCATCATCATTGAAATCCGCCATTCATCAACGTAGTATGAAACAAGCAAAAATACCTACAGTAGCGCCACCGCCATCTGATGGTAATCATAATCGTCATCATCATGATGAACAGCATGGAAAAGATGTTACACCTAAACATCAAACAACATTATCAACAGCGATGCCTTTACAACAACAACAACAACAACAACAGCAACAACAAATGCCTGTTCGTCGTTTTCTTTCATTACATTCATATCCACCAACATCATCATCATCATCATCATCATCGACACATAATAATGATCAATTATCGTTATCATCATCATCACCATCTAAAACAATTACTAAAATAAATCAAAAAGATCCACATCAGAAACTGATTAAACAGGTGAATATTGTGGTACCTACGGCGATATCTACAACGACAACTACCACATCGACAATAACGATGACAACTAATAAACAACAATCATTAGTAGTTGGTCATCAATTACAAAGTTTGAATGAAGAAGATTTATCCGCCAGTGGTGGTGGTGGTTTCGATAGAGGTGATGATGTTGACGATGACGATGATGATGGAACAAAACGACAAAAATCGACCAAAACAATTACAACCGATTTGCAACAGCAACAACAACAACCGGTTGGAGCACCATCAATGACATCGACAACAAATACTGTTACAATGGCAACATCCGGTGGTGGTGTTAATGGTGGTTCATCCTATTCATCAACAATAGCAGCAGGAAAAGCAACAAAAACTGAACAATTACGTATGGATAGTGATAGTATTGAATCAACATCAAATACAGAATCATCAACAAGTTTGAATATTCAAAAATCAAATCAACAACAACAGCAGCCAATTTCATCATCATCATCATCAGCAGTAATAACAAAAACCGGTATCATACGTAGTGGTGCTTGTATATTACAACAACAATCATCATTATCATCGACAATAATTCCAACAACAACAACAACAACTGGACCACCACAACCACAACCACCACCACCGGCAACAACAACAACAACAACAACAACACAAACGAATAATAATAAAAAAATTAATCAAGTTCGTGCACAGATACTTGTTAATGAAGTACATGATTGGTGGCTATTACATTTAAATTGATTGATGATTGAAATCTATGTGAAAATTCTACGAACAATTTCATTTCATTTCATCATATTTTTTTTGTTGTAACATAAAAATCATCATCATCATCATCATCATCGTGTAAAGATATTGTTGATTTTTTCGTTTTTGTTTCTATTTTGTAAATTTTTTTGTTCAAATATAAAAAACACACAAACACATACACACACACAATATGTAGCCAAACGAAGAGCCAAATTGAATTTAACTTTTTCTCTAAAAAAAAAAATTTCTCGTTTTTTTTTCTTTCATTTGTGAATCACCATCATCATCATCATGATCATGATCGTTTTTGAAAAACGTCGTCGAAGACAATAATAGTGAAATTTTCTCATTTTTTTTTTCATTCGCTCATTTTTATTTTTCACACACCCACACCCACACACACACTCTCATTTTCCTTTTCGCTCTCATATTCACATAACAAAAAAAAAACAAACTAACAAACCAGAATATTGAAAGTTTCTATCCCAAATTCTACAGCTTCCATTTAATCGTCATGATTTGATTTCATTTTTAATTGATTAAACAATTTTTTCTGTCTCTCTCCCGTCCGTTAGTGGTTATTTTTTCCGTTTACCAAATTGCCATCGTCATCATCATCATCATCATCCTCATGAACGCCATAATCATCATCATCATAATCAATTTTAGAAATTCAGAAATAAAACAAAAACAAAAAACATTACTCTGCTCGATGCCATCCAATTTGATTCGGAAACAAACAAACACACACACAAATACCATACATAACACATGTTTTTGTTTGAAATGTAAAAAAAAAATAAATTTCAAATCTCTAAATGTCATTCATCCGTTCCATATACATATGTTCATCTTCTACACATTATATAATGATGATGATAATCACATGGTTTTTTGTTGCCCCTCCGATCATCATTGATCCTATTGTATAAAAAAAAATCGAATTCAATATTCAAATTTCATTCACCTTATTTTATTTCAAACTTTTTTTTTCTCTCTCTCTCCAAAAATCAATTAAATTTTAATCGATCGATATTGATGCTTTCATTGTTATTGGTGGTACTCAATTACAAGAAAAAAAACAAACAAACAAACAAACAATGATGATAATTTTATTCAATGAAAAAAAAAAATGATTAAAAAATTATTATGATGAAAAAATATTCAAATCTAAACGATCAAGTGTACGATAAAAATGTCCAGGTAAATGATTGACATTTGTTTCAATAATAAGATCATCATTATCACCATCATCAGTTTGTATGCTGATGTTATTGGTTCTGTCCAATTGTTTTAATTGATCAACATCATCATCATCAGCATCGATTGATTGATTGGATTTTTTCCGTAAATGTCGTATTGGCCGTAATAATTGTGGTAATATTAGACCATAATGATGTATCATTAATGGTATTTCACGATTACTGCGTACACCTAATTTTTGACAAACCTGCCTAGATAATGGCTCAAATGATTGATCAATATGACGCCAATTTTCTAAACGTTTCTGTTTCAACGTTGCCATTGTAATATGTTGTCCTAGTATATGTTTAACCCGATATGAAAAAAATGTATCACCCAATATAAATGATGTTTTATATGCAAGAAAACATTGTATTGCAGACCATTTTGTGGTCGTTGTATGTAGATCAATTAATGATACAGCTAGATCTGTGTTTTGTGCCAATACACGATATTTGATTGTTGCTGGTTTTACCGGACCCAATACATATTTATTATCACGATTTGCACCAGCTTTACGAATATTTCTGGTCATATCATTCGGTGGTACATAGATTGGTTCTTTTGATTTGCCTAATTCATCGATTTCAGTTAAACGAATACCACAACGTTCTTCATACCAATGACCGATTTGAATGTTTGGAATCAAACCATTTACAATACAATAGAAATGCATTGGTGGCAATAGCTGTGTTTTTGCACGACGTATTGATTTCAAAACGAATTTTTCAATCATTTGATTTTCGGATAATAATAATAGACCAGACCAACGACGATCTAATGCTATAAATAAAAACATGAAATGAAAATTTTTATTCAAATCACCATTGACAAACCTTTAATTATATGTAATCGATTATTAAGATGCATAAATTGTCCAAGTAAATCCAAAACATCGGCAACAGAATATTTTGGTTGACCAAAAATTTTACTATTCAACATTTGTTCAGCAGATGATGGATTTTTACAATAAATTTCATTATTAGCCGATTTATGTATGCCTAATCCCCATGGTTTTGAAATGGCTATCAAACCATAATCATTGTAGACAATATTTTTAGACAATAATTTGACTAGATCAATATGATTATGCCAATCGAATAGATTTCGATATAAATGTTTTGATGTTGATGTTGATGATGATGATGGTTTTTTCTGTCGGCCATCATGATTTCCACTGATTGCCGGATTCAATGATGCTATTGATCTCGATAATATTGGTGAACAATGTATCAAATTTCGATTAAAAATTAACAAAATTTGACGTTTAAACATCTTTTTTTCTAAATTTTTGTTTTTTCAAAAATTATACAAAAAACATGTGCTCTTGCAAGCCATTCATAAACACTAGTACAGAATCAGCCGATTTTTTTTGTCATTTGTAAATCTGTGTTTTTCATATCATGGTGTGTTTATTGATTGATTGAAAATTTCTTTTTTCCAAAAACAAAATAAATGATGATCTTCCAATTGAAATTTCTCTTACTTTTGATCAATTTTTTCACAACGATCTCAGCCAATCATGGTGTTAATGATGAACATTTTGATGAACAGCTCATCATACGATCATTGAATGATGGCCAAATTTCGGCTCATTTTGAATTTAAAACATTCATCACTGCTAATCTCTCACATCCATTTGGTGGTATATGAATCGGTTTTTTTTTCTTGTCAATTTTTTCTAACTTTCGTTTTTTTCTCTCCATGGTTCTAGTAAATGCTGGCAAACATAATGACATTTTTCCATTATCATTATTACGTCTATTTCATCAGCTTGAAATTCAAGAATTACATTTCAGTCTAACAAAAGGTTATTGGAAATATGATCGTTGGGGATTGCCTGCACGTGATACATCACCAAACGCTCATCTTTGGGCATGGTTTTCGGCTTATTTGAATTCAAAAAATAATTGGAATAAATTAACTAGTCTACTTTCTGGCCAATTCTGTGCATCCATAAATCTAATCAATCCAACTGTCACCATCAGGCCAAAAATTTCGTATCGTCCATTTCTGAAATTGAAACCAATTGAAGATGAAAATATTGATCATGATTATGGTTATATGGCATCATTACCACAGGAAGCTATTTGTACAGAAAATCTTACACCATTCACTAAAATGCTTCCATGTCAACGTAACAAAGGTTTAGCCACATTACTACATGCAACAAATATTTTTGATACCGAATTTTTTTCACAATCAATTGATTTTCATTTCTCTTGTTTGGATATTAATCATTGTTCATCAACCAACGGTATTGAACTTCGACAAAATATTCTCATTGTATTCAATGCACCATTAGTGTTGGATGGTAAATATAGTTGGACATTGAATTCATTGTTTGGTTCATCATTAGATAGTCATTGTCCACTTGCTAGTACAAGTCTAATTTATGTTGACATTACACCATTGAATCATAATCCATCATCAAATGGACAGCTTCTTATTGAACCATCAAGATTTATAAGTATCGATTCTGATAAATATGGATCAATTGTTATTGAACAATCACCAATCATGATCAAAGAAAAACAACAACGGCTATATGCTGAATATGATTTGAAATCAATAATAAAATCAGAATCGGCTGAATCAATATCGAAAACTGGATTAAATATTGGAATACAATATCCAAATTCATATGATGGAAAATTAAATTATCCAATTGATTATCAAAATTTACAGGTTCGAAGATTTTCACGTGGTGTTGGTGTTCAAACTGGTGGTATTACCGTACTGCTTACGAATCGTTTTCAATTTAGTATTGATGCCATCTATACAGATACAATACCATGGTATCTACGAATGTATCTGCATACAATGAACATCGAATCACGATCATTGGATGGATCCAAATTGATGAAAGAAATTCAGCCCAAAAAATTACATTATGAACCAGCACAGGATCGTATACGTCCACATCAACTTGAAGTGCAACTAAATCTTCCACCAAATTCATTAACTGAAATTCGTTTTGAATTTGATCATCAATTTTTACGTTGGACAGAATTTCCACCGGATCCAAATCATGGTCTTTATATAAATCCAGCAACGGTTACATTTTTATTCGCCGATAGCAATAATCATCAATTATCAGATCCTGGCCGTACGTATGAACGATTTTTGCCACAAATATTTCATTCATATTTCAACAATTCCAATTCATTTGCTGCTGCTTCTGCAACAATGGCACTATTACGACAAAATCATCCAATACGTTTATATACTGAACCGTTGATTATAATGATGCCTACACCGGATTTCAGTATGCCTTATAATGTCATTTGTCTTGTATCAACGGCATTATCGATTGCATTTGGACCAATCTATAATCTAACCACACGTAAAGTGATGAATACACAAATGAAACATGGTAAAGCACAGAAGACTAAAAAACGTTTCTTTTTCTTTTAAATGTTCTTGAAAATCAACTTTTGTATTTCTTTTTTTTTCATCTTCTCATTTATTATAATAAAAATTAATAAAAAAAATTATAAAATGATCAAAAAAAAGTGTCTGTATCATCATCAGTTTGTTGTTTGTTGTCACTATTTTGATGATGATGATTTAAATCGATTAATCACTTTTATCAACGATTTAACATTAGCCATTAAACGACGACGTCGAATTTTTTTCGTATTTGAATCAATTGTTATCAATGGTAATGCCATCTGTTGTTGTTGTTGTTGTTGTCGTTGTCGTTTATTCGTAGATTTCATCTTCTTTATGATTAATTCTGGAGATTTTACCACCGCCGCCGCCGGCGCCGTCATCATCATCATCATTGTTTGTTGTGATGATGAATCTGGAATTAATCTATCATCAATCATCATCATTTGATTCTGATTCTTATCCATGTTGTTGTTGTTGCTAGAAATTTTGGCACCCATTTTATGTATCAATAATTGTCTTTTCAATTCATTCGTTGGGCTAGATGATGATATTTTATTCGGCTGTTGTTGTTGTTGTTGTAGTTGTTGTGGTTGATTATGATAATAAGATTTACGATCATCAATCGATGGATATTGTTGATTAAATGATTGTGCAACATAATCAAATAATGATTTCTGTATTGCATCTGAATTCAATGTTGATGTTGACTTTGATGATTGACTATTGATGGGAATCTGTTTTGTTTTTACCATTACTATTTTGATCAACTTGTTGATCGTTATTCTGTTTGGTTTGTGTTTGTATTGCATTAAATAAACCGGTCAATGATAATAATTCACCTAATTTACTCAGTTTATATGGATGACCAGTTGTTTTATCAATTACCGATAATATTGATTTCTGTATACTATTTGCCGATGATGATGATGATGATGGTTTCATTTTTTCCGCATCCTGATCATCATTTTGTAATGTTTTTTATTATGATAATTTTTCTGTTCATTAGTTGATGATGGCAATGTTTGTTTTATATAATTTTTTTCATATTGTAATGCAGCATTTTTTGCCACTTCTGTAGGTGATAATGGTAATTTCCATTGAATAGATGGATAATCAATTAATGCATTATTCAATGATAATATCCTATCACGATCATAAAATTCTTCAAATGGATCAACATTCATCATTGTCATCATTGATTCCGGTGTTTTATGAAATAATGGTGATGACGACAATGTTTCAGAATGTGGTCGATTATTATCATTGTCCACGATAACATGTGAATTGGAATCCAATAATTTTGTTGATGAAGAATCATGATTTTTCAAAATTTGTTGTTGTTGTTGTTGTTGTTGTTGCAAAAGATCACCTATTGTTTTCAATTTTTGTGGTCTACCATAAACATCATTTAACTTTAATTCCAAATTATCATCATCGATATCATTATTAAATATCGACGATTTTATTCGTTCATGTTGTTGTTGTGGTGATTTCATCATTATTGGTCTTGGCATGCCAAAATAATATTTTGGCAATGGTGATGATGGTGATGGGATTTGCATTTGTTTATTACGTTGTCGTCGATTTGTTTGTTGTGATTCCGAAGCCGACAAACTATTATGCACTATTGAATGATTTGGTTGTCTGGAAATGGCTGCTGTTGTTGTTGATGATGATGATGATGATTGTTTACCACGATTCATTGATGATAAATCACTATAACGATTTACAGCTTGTTCTTGTATCATGTCCATCATTGTCTTTAAAAATGGATCAATAGAAATCTGCTGTGGTGTATGTATTGTTTCCAATTGTGGATGATCTAGATATGCATTTTTAGGCATTGTATATAATTTTGCTGGTGGTCTCGGCAATATTTTCGTACCATCCTGATGATGATGATGATGGTGATGATTATTATCATCATTTGTTGTTGGTTTTAATGATGTTGTCGTAGTTGTTGTCAATGATAATGGTAAAAACATTAATGGTTTCTGTCGTTGTTGTTGTTGTTGCTGTTGTTGTTGTTGTTGTTGCCGATTATCATTAAGATCATTACGAATAACATTCATCGCTTGTTCAAAACCAGAAATTTCCGTTTCATCCGGTGTATATGTCTGTATATAATGTCTTACTAATGTATATGGATTATCATTACCATTATCAATTGTTTCCTGTTCCATTGATTCAGAATTCATCATCATCATTTGATTAAGCATATGGTTATTTCGATTATATTTATCCATCTGATATAATTCATCGTTATTAAGATTTGAATTTTCAAATTTTGGCTTTTGCTGCTGCTGCTGCTGATGATGTTGTTGTTGTTGTTGTTGATGTAATGGTATTACAGTTGGCGTGAATGATGGTGATTGAAAATCTTGATTAAAATCCAACGATGATGATGGTGGATTAATTATCGAATTCATCGATTGTTGCTGCTGTCGATTTATTAACGGTATTGCATTATATTTCTGCACGAAATGCATCAATGATTCTGGATATTGTGGATTATTATCTATCGATGATTGTTGTTGATTGATTTTTTGTCCATCTAGAAAAATGGAAGAAAAAATTGATTGTAAAAAAGAGAAAAAATTCAAATTTCACCCTTACATTGTGGCTGCTGAAAATAATGCTGATGATGATGATGGATAGTTGGTGCATTTTGGTGAATCGAAGAAATCGTTGGCTCTTGATTTGATATTTTCACCTCTAATGGCTGAATTGATGGTTCATCAAGATCCTGAATCTGATGATGTACAACAGGTGTATTATTGCGCAATACATAGAATTTATTCTCAATCGTAACAAATACTTCTGGTGGCTGTGTTGTCGTTGGTGGAGATGATGGTTTTATCGTGGCCAATTTCAATAAATCAGATTGATGATGATGATGATCAATATTTTGTTGTGATTTTTTTCGATAAATTTCATTGATCATGTTGAATTTTCGATCAAAAATTTCACTAAGTTTCAAATTTTCATCATCGTCATCATCATCAATATTAAATGGATGATAATTTGGTGGTGTTACCATTGTTGTAATAGTTGATGGCGTTGTTGTTGGCACATTTCTCATCATCATCATATCTGACATGAATGAATAATCCAATGAAGATTGTGGTGGTTTAGGTATCTGTAAATTTTGTGACGATTCTGTTGTTTTTATTGAATTTTTTAAATCTTGTGAATTTTGATGAATTTCCTGCTCCGGATGTTTATATACGGGTGCTGGTGGTGCCATAGTTGTAGTAGTAGTGGTCGTCGACGTTGTTGTCGTTGATGTTGTTGTGGTCGTTGAAGTTGTAGATGTCGATGTTTTCAATGTTCGTTGATGATATGGACGCCATTTCATTGTATCTTGTTGACGATTTTTTGTTTGAATTGATTTCAACATAGATTTTGGTTTCATACGTTGAATTTCCATTCGTTTATCCGATGATTGTATTGGATCAATTTCAGTTACATTCATTGTTGTTGTTGGGTTAGAATTTCGATTTTTCCATAAAAATTTTCCATGATTATTATGATTACGAAATAATGGTTTAGTTGTCGTATAAACCGGTGCCGGTGATGATGATTGATTATCATTTCCAATTGTTGATTCTGTTGTCGTTGTTGTTGTTGATGTTGAATTAAATAATTTTGATTTATTATAACGTTGTCTTAGATAATCGATACGATATTTATCACGAATTATAGCCGATGATTGTGGTTTCAGTGTTGCTGTTGTTGCCGCCGTAGTAGTAGTAGTAGTAGTAGGTGTTGTTGTTGTTGTTGAAATTGTTCCATAATCATTTAAATTCGGTGATACCGTTCTTACAATTGATCCAACATAATTTGGTAATGAATTTGATTTATCGCCACTAGACGGCAATGGTTGTACGGTAGGTAAATTATTGTTACGTATGATTTTAGCACCAAATTGTAATGAACTTGATTTCGGTGATAATTTTTGTTGATGATGATGTATTTCATCTTCTGGAAGAAAAAAGAAAAGAAAATTGGAAAATTGGTAAACAAAATAAAAAAAATTCTCACCTGAATTTGTCGTTTTTGTATGATCTATCAAATTGATTTTAGAGAACAGATTTTTTGATTCATTTTCAAAATATACGATCGGTGATAATGTTGATAATGATAATTGTTCTTTCGGTGATGATGATGATGATGATTGTGATGGCGATGATGATGATGCAGCAGCAATCAATGGTAATGATGAATGTGATGATATTGATTGTAATGATGGCGGTGGTGATTGATGATTATGTTGAAAATCATGATCATAATGTATGGATGTTACAGTTTTACCATTTATAACGGTTATTTCACCATTTGGTGATGTTTTTACTAATATAAATGTTCAATGATGAGTAATATTTCAAATTTCAAAAAAAAAAAAATCAACTTACCATTAAGTGAAAGTGGTGAAATAACTTTATTGGATAGATCTGTAAAATTTGTCGATGACGATGATGTAGGCGGCGGCGCTGATGGTCCAGTAATGATTGATGATAATGTGGATGTAAAACGACGATGATTATGATAATTATTATCTGGATTATTATTTTTTTGCAAAAAACTGGCTAAAATCTTTTGATTATCAATCAATGATTGTGATGATGAAATTTTTTTGAATATTTGCATACGACAATTGATTGCAATCGAATTATTTGATGATCCATATTGTTTATCGGATTTTGTTGCTGTTGTTGTCGTCGTCGTATCAAACAAACATAATTTTTCATCATTCATTAAATCTGGTTCAATCGTTGTAGTAGTCGTCGTTGTTGTCGTTGTTTGATCATCATCATCATTATAATCATTAATTTCCAACGATGATGATGATCGAAATGGCATTAATCGATGATTTATTAATAATGATGATGATGATGATGAATGATCAGATGACGAGTACGATGATCGTATTGAATTGATTTGAATTGAAATTAAAATCATCAACAATGGTGATGATTTGAAGAATATTTTCGATGCCATCGTTTGTTGTTTGTAAGTTTGATGATTCATTCGTGTTAGATTTTTGATTTGATGAGCTGAGATATGGGCTGAGAAAAACGTTTTCTTTTCTTCAGGGAAAAAGAAAGAGTGAGTGAGTGAGTAATGGTGAATTTTCAATTTTGAAAAATGAAAACAAAACAAAAAAAACTGTCGCTGTTGAATGATAATTTTATTTTAATTTTTTTTTTCTACACCATCACGGGAAAAAAGTATCAAATCAAATTGAATTTTAATGATGATGATGATGATGATGATGACAAGAAGAAGAAAAATTAAATTTGCCGATGATGATTATATCATATATATATATATTCAATCGATTGTCGCCAATCAATATTGAAACGATTGGATAGATTTGATCAGAAATCAATTGATTGATTTCTAATATGTATGTGAATGGGGAAAAGAAAACCACAACGAAACAATTTCCTTTTTTTTCTATTTTAAACGAGATAAAAAAAATTTTTTTTGAAACCAATTCCAGCAGCTCACAATCTGCATTCAAACCAATGCAGGTTTTTTTTATTTTGGCAAATTTACCGGCTTTTTTTCGTTGATGATGATATTTTTCACGTGGAAAATGAACAAAAACTGATTTTGCTATTGTTTCTCATTTGGATCAAAATAGCCTAAAAATTGTCATAGTTGTGATTTTTTTTGGTTGACGATGATGATGATGATGGCAAATCTACTTGGCAAATTTTTTTTGTTTTCATTTTCAATAATAGAAAAAAAACAAACAAACAAAATGATCAATTTCATTGGACATTTTTATCTTGAATGGCCAACAACAACACGACCATTTGGAAATATTTTTTTTCTGTTTTTCTCATTTTTTCTGTTGTATTTTTTTTGGATGAATTCAATTTGATTTTACAGACAAACAAACAAACAAACAAACAGACAAACAGAAAATAATGATGATTATTATGGATTAATATCTGTGTGTGTGTGTGTGTGTGTGTGTGTGTTTGCGTGACGTTTTCGTGATTATATTTTCTACAATTCGGTAATGTTTTACTATTTCGAATCGTAATTCAGTAGTTTTTTTTTCTTTGTAAACACATCATCATCATCATTTATTCATTGCAAAAAATTTTGTCTTATTTCAATTTCAATTTTGATGATGATGATGATGATGAATATGCATAATTTGTATGTATTTTTTTTTCTTGAATTTCAGTGGAAAATAAAAAAGTTCAATTCAATTTTTTTTTTTTTTTTTTTTTTGGTCAGTAGTAGTAAGTAATTTGATTGTGTTGGTCATTCATATTCATTCATCAATGATGAATGTGAATTGGTGTCAGTTTTTTTTTTGTCAGCATCATCATGTCGTTGTTGGTTGAATATCGATATATAATATATGGAATTCAAAACACCACAAACACACACATCACACACACACACACGCTTAAGAAATGTTTTTCAGTTGACATTATTATGACATTGCATAAAAACAACAAACACACACACTGAAAAATTATTTGTTTTTAAAAACAATTTTTTCAAGAAAAGAAATTGTTTTTCTCTGTTATTTTTGGAATCTATTGTTTTTCACTTTTTTTTCTGGTCATTTGAAAATGATGGATTCATCGGTTGTTTTTTTTTCTTGGTTTGTTTCATCACACTATTAGCGTGTAGGAGTGTGAATTGATGAAATGAGTGAACGAAAAAAAAGGGCTTGACTTTTTTTTGTTGTATACAAGACGTGCACACCAAAAAAAAAATGAAAAAATGAAAAAATTTAAATGCCTATGATTCGATTATGATTGAATTGGATGTTTTGTTCGGGTTCAATTACCGGATAATGTGTGTGTGTAGGTGTGTAGGTGGTTGGTTTTCGATGGAAAAAAAACAGAATGAAAACAAAGAATCACCACTGAAAATAAAATCACAAAATTCAAAAAAAAAAAAATTGTCGATTATCAGTGTATGTGTGTGTGTGTGTGTGTCTTGTCTGACTTTTCATCACTTGAAATGAATGGAAAAAAAACTTTACGGTATTTTTTTTTCTGATTCAAAATCCAAGAAATGAAAATGTGAATCGCTTCTGTTTTTTTTCCATTGGATAAAGAGAAATGAAATACACTCTGCGTGTGTGTGTGTGTGTGTGTGTGTCTTGATTTTGGAGAGAAAATGGCGGCAAAAAAAAAACTTTTCGGTTTTGTTTTTGTTTTCATCCAATTCACATTGTGCTACTGTTTGTGTGTGTGTGTACGCAACGGTAATAATTTTTTTTTCTTGTTCATTATTTCCATCATCCAAGAAGAAGAAAAAAAAACTTTTCTACCTACCTAAAAGTATGGTTTTTTTATGTTATCCTTTACTCCTTTACCGTTGAAAAAAAACCTTTGTGTATTGTATGCTGAATGGTATGGATTGAGAGAAACAAAACATAAAAAAAACAATAATTCTTTAGGTTTAGATTTAAGATTGATTGAGGATTTTGTGTGTGTGTGAGAGAGAGAAAATGAATTGAATTCAATGTTTGTGCATGTAACAAGAGAGAGAGAGAGAGAGAGAGAGAGAGAGAGAGAGAGAGAGAGAGAGAGAGAGAGAGAGAGAGAGAGAGAGAGAGAGAGAGAGAGAGAGAGAGAGAGAGAGAGAGAGAGAGAGAGAGACTGAAAATTGTATCGCCCAGCGCAAAATTTTTTTTTTCTTAACAATCAGCAAATTGTGTGTCAATGATAATGACGTCATTGATGATGATGATGAACAAACAAACAAACAAACAAAAAAAAAGAAATGAAGAAAGAAAAGCAAAAAAATTTGATTCAATTAAATTTTCAAAGTGAAACAAAAAAAAAATTTTAATTTTAAAATCGATTGTCAATTTTTTTTTTTTTTTTTTTGATAATGAATTGTGTGTGTGTGTGGTGACACAATTATTATGAATGAGAACCAACAAACAAAAAGAAAACGATAAATTTTCCATTTTGGTTTTTTTTTATTGTTTCAATATTTATTTGATGATAGATTTTTTTTTCTATATTCAATCGATTTACAATCAATCAATCATCATCATCATCATCATCGAAATGGACAACAATAAAACCAATGCCACAAAATATTTGTCAATAACTAGAACAACAACAACAAATAAAGAAAGACAAAAACGAAAGAAAAAAAATTTTTTTTTCTTTCTTTCTTCATTATCATTCTTTATCTTTATCAATCTTCACTAACCGTGAAAATGATTGAATTAGCTGACGAAAAGAAAAAAGGAAAAAATTCCCGTAATTCAAAAAGAAGAAGAAAAAATGACTTTTTTTTCTTTCCATATCTAGATGATGATCATCATCGTCATTATCATTATATAATAATAATCGTCATATTATTATCCACGATTTTATGCTTTATTTTGAGGAAAAATATACGATAATGGCGGTGTACACTGTGTGTGTGTGTGTGTGTGTGTGCATACATTACAAAACATGGAAATATATTAATGACATGAACACGCCGACGACGACGACGATGATGATGATGAAAATTGCATTAGCATTTCTTTTCGTATGTCATATTCAAGTGTGTGTGTGTGTGTGGAATCAAACAAAAAAAAAAAAGAAAT